CATGAGGGCATGAGGGGATGAGGGCATGAGGACATATATGAGGGCATGAGGGCGTGAGGGCATGAGGGCATGAGGGCATGAGGGCATGAGGGCGTGAGGGCATGAGGGCATGAGGGCATGAGGGCATGAGGGCCTGACGGCGTGAGGGCATGAGGGCATGAGGGCGTGAGGGCATGAGGGCATGAGGGCATGATGGCGTGAGGGCATGAGTGCATGAGGGCATGAGGGCATGAGGGCATGAGGGCGTGAGGGCATGAGGGCATGAGGGCATGAGGGCATGAGGGCATGAGGGCGTGAGGGCATGAGGGCATGAGGGCATGAGGGCATGAGGGCGTGGGAGGGGATGAGGGCATGAGGGCATGAGGGCATGAGGGCCTGACGGCGTGAGGGCATGAGGGCATGAGGGCGTGAGGGCATGAGGGCGTGAGGGCATGAGGGCATGAGGGCATGAGGGCATGAGGGCCTGACGGCGTGAGGGCATGAGGGCATGAGGGCGTGAGGGCATGAGGGCGTGAGGGCATGATGGCGTGAGGGCATGAGTGCATGAGGGCATGAGGGCATGAGGGCATGAGGGCATGAGGGGATGAGGGCATGAGGGCATAAGGGCATGAGGGCATGAGGGCGTGAGGGCATGAGGGCATGAGGGCATGAGGGCATGAGGGCATGAGGGCATGAGGGCCTGACGGCGTGAGGGCATGAGGGCATGAGGGCGTGAGGGCATGAGGGCGTGAGGGCATGATGGCGTGAGGGCATAAGTGTATGAATGAGGGCATGAGGGCATGAGGGCATGAGGGCGTGAGGGCATGAGGGCATGAGGGCATGAGGGCATGAGGGCATGAGGGCGTGAGGGCATGAGGGCATGAGGGCATGAGGGCATGAGGGCATGAGGGGATGAGGGCATGAGGGCATGAGGGCATGAGGGCGTGAGGGCATGAGGGCATGAGGGCATGAGGGCATGAGGGCGTGAGGGCATGAGGGCATGAGGGCATGAGGGCCTGACGGCATGAGGGCATGAGGGCATGAGGGCGTGAGGGCATGAGGGCGTGAGGCATGAGGCATGAGGGCATGAGGGCATGAGTGCATGAGGGCATGAGGGCATGAGGGCATGAGGGCGTGAGGGCATGAGGGCATGAGGGCATGAGGGCATGAGGGCATGAGGGCGTGAGGGCATGAGGGCATGAGGGCATGAGGGCATGAGGGCATGAGGGGATGAGGGCATGAGGGCATGAAGGCATGAGGGCGTGAGGGCATGAGGGCATGAGGGCATGAGGGCGTGAGGGCATGAGGGCATGAGGGCATGAGGGCATGAGGGCGTGAGGGCGTGAGGGCATGAGGGCATGAGGGCGTGAGGGCATGAGGGCATGAGGGCATGAGGGCATGAGGGGATGAGGGCATGAGGGCATGAGGGCATGAGGGCATGAGGGCGTGAGGGCGTGAGGGCATGAGGGCATGAGGGCGTGAGGGCATGAGGGCATGAGGGCCTGACGGCGTGAGGGCATGAGGGCATGAGGGCGTGAGGGCATGAGGGCATGAGGGCATGATGGCGTGAGGGCATGAGTGCATGAGGGCATGAGGGCATGAGGGCATGAGGGCGTGAGGGCATGAGGGCATGAGGGCATGAGGGCATGAGGGCATGAACGCGTGAGGGCATGAGGGCATGAGGGCATGAGGGCATGAGGGGATGAGGGCATGAGGGCATGAGGGCATGAGGGCGTGAGGGCATGAGGGCATGAGGGCATGAGGGCATGAGGGCGTGAGGGCATGAGGGCATGAGGGCATGAGGGCATGAGGGCCTGACGGCGTGAGGGCATGAGGGCATGAGGGCGTGAGGGCATGAGGGCGTGAGGGCATGATGGCGTGAGGGCATGAGTGCATGAGGGCATGAGGGCATGAGGGCATGAGGGCGTGAGGGCATGAGGGCATGAGGGCATGAGGGCATGAGGGCATGAGGGCGTGAGGGCATGAGGGCATGAGGGCATGAGGGCATGAGGGCATGAGGGGATGAGGGCATGAGGGCATGAGGGCATGAGGGCATAAGGGCATGAGGGCATGAGGGCATGAGGGCATGAGGGCATGAGGGCATGAGGGCATGAGGGCATGAGGGCGTGAGGGCATGAGGGCATGAGGGCGTGAGGGCATGAGGGCATGAGGGCGTGAGGGCATGAGGGCATGAGGGCATGAGGGCATGAGGACATGAGGGCAGGAGGGCATGAGGGCATGAGGGCATGAGGGCATGAGGGCATGAGGGCGTGAGGGCATGACGGCATGAGGGCATGAGGGCATGAGTGCATGAGGTTATGAGGTTATGATGGCGTGAGGGCATGAGTGCATGAGGACATGAGGGCATGAGGGCATGAGGGCATGAAGGCATGAGGGCATGAGTTCATGGGGATGAGGGCATGAGGGCATGAGGGCATGAGGGCGTGAGGGCATGAGGGCATGAGGGCATGAGGGTGTGAGGGCATGAGGGCATGAGGGCATGAGGGCGTGAGGGCATGAGGGCATGAGTGCATGAGGGCATGAGGGCATGATGGCGTGAGGGCGTGAGGGCATGAGTGCATGAGGGCATGAGGGCATGAAGGCATGAGGGCATGAGGGCATGAGTGTATGAGGGCATGACTGCATGAGTGCATACGTACATGAGGGCAGGAGGGCATGAGGGCATGAGGGCATGAGGGCATGAGGGCATGAGGGCGTGAGGGCATGAGGGCGTGAGGGCATGAGGGCATGAGGGCATCAGTGCATGAGGGCGTGAGGGCATGAGGGCATGAGGGCATGAGGGCATGAGGGGATGAGGGCATGAGGGCATGAGGGCGTGAGGGCATGAGGGCATGAGAGCATGAGGGTGTGAGGCATGAGGGCATGAGGGCATGAGGGCATGAGGGCATGAGGGCATGAGGGCATGATGGCATGAAAGCATGAGGGGATGAGGGCATGAGGGCATGAGGGCGTGAGGACATGAGGGCATGAGGGCATGAGGGAGTGAGGGATGAGGGCATGAGGCAGATGAGGGGATGAGGGCATGAGGGTGTGAGGGCATGAGGGCATGAGGGTATGAGGGCGTGAGGGCATGAGGGCGTGAGGGCATGAGGGCGTGAGGGCATGAGGGCATGAGGGCATGAGGGCATGAGGGGATGAGGGCATGAGGGCATGAGGGCATGAGTACGTGAGGGCATGAGGGCATGAGGGCATGAGGGCATGAGGGCGTGAGGGCATGAGGGCATGAGGGCATGAGGGCATGAGGGCATGAGGGACGAGGGCATGAGGGCATGAGGGCATGAGGGCGTGAGGGCATGAGGGCATGAGGGCGTGAGGGCATGAGGGCATGAGGGCATGAGGGCATGAGGGGATGAGGGCATGAGGGCATGAGGGCATGAGGGCGTGAGGGCATGAGGGCATGAGGGCATGAGGGCACGAGGGCGTGAGGGCATGCGGCGTGAGGGCGTGAGGGCATGAGGGCATGAGGGCATGAGGGCATGAGGAGATGAGGGCGTGAGGGCATGAAGGCATAAGGGCGTGAGGGCATGAGGGCATGAGGGCGTCAGGGCATGACGGCATGAGGGCATGAGGGCATGAGGGGATGACGGCATGAGGGCATGAGGGCATGAGGGCGTGAGGGCATGAGGGCATGAGGGCATGAGGGCATGAGGGCGTGAGGGCATGAGGGCATGAGGGCATGAGGGCATGAGGGCATGAGGGCATGAGGGCATGAGGGCGTGAGGGCATGAGGGCATGAGGGCATGAGGGCATGAGGGCATGAGTGCATGAGGGCATGAGGGCATGATGGCGTGAGGGCATGAGAGCATGAGGGCATGAGGGCATGAAGGCATGAGGGCATGAGGGCATGAGTGCATGATTGCATAAGTACATGAGGGCAGGAGGGCATGAGGGCATGAGTGTTGTGTGATGCAATCATATGCATTCACGTCTGTCTGCCTCCCATCATGTGTTTGTGCGTTGCATGCGTTGTGTGAGCGTGTGCAAGAATTTGTGTTTTGCGCGGTTTGGGTTTCTTGAGTGCGTGCGAATGTTATTTGGCCTGAGCAGATACCTGAAGTGACTCATCTACTCGAGAGCTTTTCGACGAGCCAAGAATCGTCGCGATCGGAGCTATATCAAGAAAGTTGCGAACATTGGAGTTCGTATGCTTTCTGTACTTTGGTTGTGGCAACTATGGGAAGTTGTGGGGTTGAATCTATATGGGGTACAGACCTTTTGGGGTTGGTAAATTCGAACCCATTACTGTAGATGCTGCCATGTGGTTGGGTGAAGCCAAACCAGGTTGGCAAGTGTGGCCAAGTGGGAGTGAGGTAGATTTGGGAGGTTGGAAAATGACAAGATTGAAAGTTGGGTTGCCTATTGAGAGGGAAATTGTGTGGCATGGGGTTTCTTTGGTTGGGGACTCCCTTGGGACCTTCCCTCTCGTCCTCCTCTTCCCTCCTACCTGGTTTAGTGCTACTCTAATGTTCTTGTGTGGAACTACTTTGTGAACTTGTGAGAACTTGTGAGTTAATTGTGATTGAGTTAATCTTCTATGGCAGCATAGCCCCTAGTGCGCTGAAATCGATATCTCGCGATTTACTCCATCTTTTGAGGTGATTCAAATTGGGAATTGTAGCCACGGTCTAGAGCTACAACATACTCGGTTTTCGTGAGATTCTAACGGTGAACGTTTCGTCGACAACGTTTCTTGTGAAGTCGACATTTCTGTCCAGAAACTAGGACCAACGATTTTGTGAAATTTTGGCTCCTAATCTTCATAGACTCCGTCCTTAATCTCTAACAAGTGGTATCAGAGCTGATTGAGGACGTTGTGAAGATTCTACTGAAATGTGAAGACCCTCCTAGACCCACCATGGCCTGTGGGCGTGCCTAAGTGACTTCCGCTAAGGGAAAACTCTGCCGAAATTTCGTTGGCGCCGACACTTGTGAAAATTGTGTGGGACTTCGGTGTGGACAGCAAAAGGGGGAGCTGAAACCTCTGATTGGGAGCAGAGGAAATGAGTCAAGGGAGTCGAGAAGCTGCCGAGAAGAAGAGTGAACCGCCACCATCCAAGATCGAAGCTTTGGATGGCTCCAATTATGAGGAATGGAGCGGGCGGATGCGGAGCGCTTTCAAGCGCTACAAGCTTCTGAAACTTGCAATGGGAGAAGAGAAGATCCCTAAGAAAGGTGGTGCCCGCGACCGGTGGATTGAGCGGAGCGCGGTGCTGTACGACCTCATCCTACAGTCGGTCAACAACGATATGTTCCAACATATCAAATATTTGGTGGAGCTGGACGACTCCGGACCGAAGGCGTGGAAGCTGCTACGCGACGTGGTACAACCCAACACGCTGCCGATGGTGATCGTATTGGAGAAGGAGCTGGCTGCCCTCTCCATGCGGCCGGGAGACGATGTGAAACCGGTGCTTGACAAGATCAAGGACACTTATGCGAGGATGGCAGCGGCGGGCAGCAAGGTGTCGGAGATGCAGCAGTGCACCAAGATCATCTCGGTGCTCGACAACTCGTGGGACAACCTTATCCCCACCCTCAATGTTTAGCAGGACAAGTGGACGCCTGAGTGGCTACGGCAGCAGATCCTGCAGGAGGACTTCCGCAGGCGCCACACGGGAGGTGGTGCTGCCAACAAGACTGCTGAGGGGTATGGAGCTGCAGGAGGCAGCAGAGGAAGAGGGGGAGGGAGAGGCCGAGGCCGTGGGAGAGGCTTTGGCAGAGGAAGAGGCCGAGGTGACTACAATGAAGGGCATGGGAGCTCTGGTGGCAGGGGGAGCACCCGAATGGAGGGTGCGTGCTGGTACTGCAAGAAGGCTGGACACCCGTGGTTCAAGTGTTTCAGCCGGCCTGAGGGATGGGCGCCCCCAGGCATGAAGCCGCCAAGTGGTGAACGCGCGCGAGGTGGCGCTGTGCAAGGTTCAGGTGCACAAGGTGATGGTGCACAAGGTAAAGCCGACCCTGGGATGTTCCTCATGGTTGAGGATGTGAAAGAGAGTGAGGATGATGTGGGTTCAGTTGGGAAGGTTGTGATGCACCCCCTCACTCACTGGGTGATTGATTCAGGTTGCACGAGTCACATGACTCCGCGGGCAGATTTGCTTGATGAGGTGAAACCCCCCGGGAAGATCAAGTTTGTGGCTGCCGCTTCAGGTGCTTTGCTCCCTGTGATTGGTGTTGGGAATGCTAAGGTGATGGGAGCCAATGGGGGACTTGTGGGACTTGGGAATGTCCTACTTGTTGAAGGTTTATCCGCTAACCTCCTCTCTGTGCGCCGGCTGCAGAAAAGCAAGGCCAAAGTTACGTTCGGCCCAACCAGCTGCCGTGCGAAGCTTGGGAAGTTGCTGCTGTGGGATTTGGAGGAGAAGAGCAGCTGCATCAAGGACCTGTGGCAGCTGCCCATCATCCCTTGGAATGGGAAACCACCAGCAACGGCAAAGGCAGCGGCAGCGGCTAAGGCAACTGCGGGAGGAGAGGAGACTGCACCAACTGCTGGGGCCCTGGATGCAGTCAAGAAGGTGCAGCAGCCACAGCAATCACATGGTGAGGTGCTTACTGGTGTGGATGCAACGGTTGCATGGGCAAAGGCTTCATCTAGGAGTGGTGAGGCCGATTGGGAGACGTGGCACGAGAGGTTGTGCCACATCAACATTCCGATGCTGCAGAAGCTAGTGAAGGATGGGAGTTTGAAGGGGCTGGAGGTGAAGGGGGCAGCGAAGGAGATTGGGAGCTGCCCTACGTGCCTTGAGACGAAATTCACCAAGTTCCCCTTCAGCAGCAGCACGGGACCAGCCAAGGCACCACTTGCGCTTGTGCACATGGATGTGGTGGGCCTACGAGGGCCCCTTCTCTCTCAGGCAGCCGCTATTTCCTGACCATTGTGGACGACCACACGCGTGCGGTGTGGGTCTACCCTCTCAAGGCGAAGGGGGAGGTGGCAGCGGCTGTTCTCAAGGAGTGGATGCCGAGAGCTCAAAGGGAGAGCGGACACAAGGTGAAGGTGATCCGCACCGACAACGGGGGAGAATTCATTGGCGCTGATTTTGAGAAGGAGCTGAAGCGGAAGGGGATCCAGCATCAGCTCACAGTGCCCTACAACCCGCAAACAGAATGGCATGGCTGAGCGGTTCAACCGGACCCTGCAGGAAGGTGCTCGCACTCTCCTTGGGCGTGCAGGGCTGCCGGATCCGTTTTGGGTGACTGCACTGAGGCAGGTCGTTGTTGTGAAGAACAGGGTGTTGGCGACCATGGGGGGACAAGCAGTGGATCCCCTACACCAAGTGGTATGGGAGTGCACCAGCAGTCAACATGCTGAGAGCGTTCGGCTGCATGGTGGTGTTTCATGTGCCGAAGGAGAAGAGGGAAAGCTGGAAGCTTCTGGGAGATGGGGTGTGCATTTGGGGCTTGCTAAGGATCACAAGGGCTGGCTGATTTGGGACTGACCAGCCAGCAGCTGACTGTGTCGAGGGATGTGAAGTTCCTCGAGTCCTTGTACTACAAGGAATGGAAGCAGCAGCAGCAGAAGCTTCCTACGACACCGCTGATCATTGAGGCCGATGAGGTGCAGCGGCCTTCAAGGCAGGTGGAAGTCTCCGTGTCGGGGGAGGAGATTTCTGGGTGACTGAGGATGGGGGAGAACCTGAGGTGGAGGAGCCAGCAGCAGCAGCTGCAGCAGCAGCAGCAGCAGCAGCAACATTTGGCTGACCGTCCTAGGAGGGATGTGCGCCCTCCTAACCGGCTTACCTATCCGAGCTTTGGGAAGCCAAGTGTGGTACCCGCTGGGAGTGTGACTGAGAAGTGTGATGAGGATGAGATAGCCTATTGCTCTGGGGCTGGATTCAGAGGCTTTGGAGGATAGTGCCGTTAGAGAGAGGCTATAGAGGGGTGCTGCAGATTTGAGAAAAGCAAAAGGAGATATCGGAAGTGGGATGTTGAAAGGAGATGACTATCCATTGGGATGAGTGTTCGATGTGAATGAAACTTGCTGGGATGAGTGTGCATTGAGGGTGCATGCTTGAGCTATGACATGTGGAATGATGGTTGGCAGCCAGAGGGGGAGTTTGTTGTGTGATGCAATCATATGCATTCACGTCTGTCTGCCTCCCATCATGTGTTTGTGCGTTGCATGCGTTGTGTGAGCGTGTGCAAGAATTTGTGTTTTGCGCGGTTTGGATTTCCTGAGTGCGTGCGAATGTTATTTGGCCTGAGCAGATACCTGAAGTGACTCATCTACTCGAGAGCTTTTCGACGAGCCAAGAATCGTCGCGATCGGAGCTATATCAAGAAAGTTGCGAACATTGGAGTTCGTATGCTTTCTGTACTTTGGTTTGTGTGCAACTATGGGAGTTGTGGGTTGAATCTATAAGGGGTACAGACCTTTTGGGGTTGGTAAATTCGAACCCATTACTGTAGATGCTGCCATGTGGTTGGGTGAAGCCAAACCAGGTGGCAAGTGTGGCCACAATGGGAGTGAGTGAGGTGATTTGGAGGTTGGGAAATGACAAGATTTAAAGTTGGGTTGCCTATTGAGAGGGAAATTGTGTGGCATGGGGTTTCTTTGGTTGTGACTCCCTTGGGACCTTCCCTCTCGTCCTCCTCTTCCCTCCTACCTGGTTTAGTGCTACTCTAATGTTCTTGTGTGGAACTACTTTGTGAACTTGAGGGCATGAGGGCGTGAGGGCATGAGGGCATGAGGGCGTGAGGGCATGAGGGCATGAGGGGATGAGGGCATGATGGCGTGATTGCATGAGGGCATGAGGGAATGATAGCGTGAGGGCATGAGTGTTGAGAGCATGAGGGCATGAGGGCATGAGGGCATGAGGGCATGAGTGCATGAGGGCATGAGGGGATGAGGGCATGAACTCGTCGGGTATGAGGGCGTGAGGGCATGAGGCGTTGAGGGCATGAGGGCATGAGGGCATGAGG